ATGATCTTCGACTTCGTGCAGCACTGCTTCCTCAATTTCAGGTGTTCTCACATTTAGAGGTCTACCTTCAGCTGTTCTTTTCCGGACAGAACCAGTTTCAACGAGACGACGATGAATATTAGAAAAGGTTCAACTATCTGGCAGAGCACGATCGCGATATCTCTGGTGATAAATCCGTCTAGGCTTGCTCACCATTATCGTCGGCAAGGCCATATACGTAATGCATTTCCGCCATTTCTGCATTTCCATAATTCACCATTATTAAGAAGATTGTAAAAACTAAATAATGAAAAAGATGCCACAGTGAAGAGATTTGAATACAGAGATGTTAAAAGCCAGTGACATATTCCAGAGCAACTAGATATTTATTGCTAAATTGTATTCTTCAATTATTACATTAATTTTCTCGGACAATAGAACGGTTTTTATTGTTTTACTCAAAAATGGCGCATCGAAGGAAAACATTTCAAGATAGATCATTTGTTTTAAATTGAACGGGGAATTTTTATTTGGCAAAAAACCATTGGCGTACCATTTTTTCCTTAAAAGATATCGAAGTCATTACCCGTACGCACACCACTGTTAAAGCTAAAAAATATTTTTGCATTGAAAAGTATGCAACTTTATTAATTTCCACTACGTACTAAATATCAGTGAAATATCTGAAGCGGTTCTGAAAATATTAATTTATTTCCACTTTTTCCTAAAACTTTAACACCCCGAGTTTTTGTAAGGAAACATTTTTGGACTATAGTTTTTAAAGCAAACTAGCATTAATTTTTAATGTAGATTCACACCCTTAAATATTCGCATATCATTAAGGAACACCCTGTATAATGTCACTTTTCAATATACGTAATACCCCTGTCGTTCCTGGCTTCATATATCTTCTCTATGCGTAGATATCCCTCTCTGAGCGTACAACATCCCTTTTCTCTTCAAAGAACACCTCGCCCGCCGTGATAACACCTTATCGGGAAACTAACCGTGAAATTGAGTTACAGTTTCGATAGAGAAAAGCCTTCAGCAGCCGCTGCCGGCATACCTAATACATTGACCTTTGTGATACGGTAGGAAACTCAGTCGTGGGCTTCAGGTGGAGCTAATAGCGTTGTGGCACGTACGTCAAAAGAGTATATAATTAGCTCATCAATTGCCGCTATTGGATCTTTGGTGGCATTAATGGTTTGTACGGGGTGAACGTTATTAAATTGTCAATTAGAAGTTTTGGTCTAGGTTACTGGCTATCTCTTGGTGCTGCAACGGATCGATAGATGCAAAACTGGAACTGGATTTTACAAATCTGGGGCGCCTATGGCACAAATTCGGGGCCTGTAAAAAGGCGCCTTTGAAGGAATGTATCTAATGATATGGTCGACTTATAAAATGTCTCTCAAGCTAGAGAAAAAATATACGATTTGTGTTAGATGGTCACCTAGTTCCCATATTCTGGAATGCTGACGAATCACTTTTTTCGATCTATCCCACTTTTACTCACTTTCACTACTTTCTCTCTCGCTGTAGATGTTGTGGTTCATGAACGTTTTCGAATGAGCTGTGCTCGTTCTCTCAAGCCCCACAAAATTGAATGAAGTGAATTTTTTTTCTAAAGCTATGTACTCCCCAACTGAGCCAATAGATATTACATGAGAAATCTCTAGAATTAGTTGAAATCAAATACAATGTGTTGAAGGCAAAGTAGCGCAAAAAGGTAACCACCATATGCTTATTAGAATTCAAAAATTGTTTGCATATCGATTTAACTTGCCATGAACAGCAAGTGATAAAATGGTCAGGTATGTTTGTTAAGTTTTTGTGGTGGCTGCGGGTATTGTTTGGGGATAAAGAAGCATTCAGTTTTTGTTCATTTACGGTGTCAGTTAAATGTTAAATTTGTTGGGTTGCGTGAAGCCAATCTATCGATAAGGGAAATTTCTAGGAGGACCAACAGATCCTTATGCAGTATACAGGGTGTCGCGAAAAAAGTGTGCAATATTCTACCAGCGGTTTTTAGAGCTTAAAATAGGAAGAAAAGTTTATATAAACATAGGTCGACAAACGTCCCCTAAGGGCGCTACGGTCTTTTAAACGGGCTCCCCTGAGGATGGTTTTTCCTTAATATTTCCGAAACGTGTTGAGATAAAGACATAAAATTTGGTATCCTAGCCTAGTTTTCTATGCTAGATTTGAAAATATTGACAATTTTAGACAGTTTTGTTTGGAAGCGTATGTAACAGGGACGGACTCAGGTTATTTTAGTCCCAAAATTTTTGTGTGATTCTATTTTTAAAATTCAATTTTAGAATTTGAAAATTTAGGGTTTTTTTTACATAAAAAGGGTACTCTTATTGAATATCGATAAATTGTGCCATTTTTGAATAAAATCAAACTAAAAGAATTGTCACATGATAGATAAATGTACTGCGAATTTAAATGAATTGTTGATTATACATAGTTAGACATGACTGCAAACAAAAGTTGTTTTGATTTGTTATGACTTATTTTAACGTTAAGCTGACATTGTTAGCAGTGTAAAATTACTAGATTAAAATCAAAAATTTTATTAAATCGATTTAAAATGCCAAGATTTACAGACAGAGAACGTCAGTCATGACATGCATTTTGTGTACGGGTTTTGCAATGGCAATTCATTGGCAGCCGTAAGAGAATATCAAAGAAGATTTTCCAATCGCATAGTAAAGGGTTGTCCAATAGGGACGCAGGAAAGTAAACGTCAATTTGACATAGACGCCATCTTTGTTTTCTGTCACCGACATGTCATTTTGTTAGTTGAATATTTACCATTAATCGCTATGGAGTCGTATTCGATTGAAGACCGCATTAAAGTTATTCAAGAGCACTACAAAAATGGTGCAAAAATAAAAAACATGTTTCGCGCGCTTCGTGAACATTTCGGGCGCAACAACCGTCCAAACGAAACAACCATCGGTCGTCTGGTGCGTAAATTCGAGGCAACAGGTTCTGTGGCAAATCTGCCAGGCTCTGGCTGGCCAAGGAGCGTTCGCACACCGGAAACTATTTCTGTTGTGAAGGAGAGTGTGAGAGACGATCCGAAACAATCAACAACGCGTCGATCCCAAGAATTGGGCATTTCGAGAACCAGTTTGCTCCGCATTCTCCACAAGGATTTGAATGTACACGCCTACAAGATCCAATTGACGCAAGAGCTGCGTCGGGCCGACCATTTTTCACGCCGAACGTTCTCAGATTGGCTCCTTGAACACCGCCAAATTGATGCCAATTTTTCATCAAAAATCATGTTCAGCGACGAAGCGCATTTCACTTTGAATGGGACGGTAAACAAGCAAAACTGCCGCATCTGGGCGAACGTAAATCCCCGTGAGTATCAAGAGCAGCCGATGCATCCTCAAAAAGTGACTGTGTGGTGTGCATTGTGGTCAAAAGGCAACATCGGACCTTACTTTTTCGAAAATGCGGCCGGGGACGCCGTTACCGTCAATTCTGAGCGATATCTCGTGATGATAGAGGACTATTTTTGCTGCAACTTGAAGGAATGTATATGGACGATGTTTATTTCCAACAAGACGGTGCAACATGCCACACAACCAACGTCAGTATCCATCGATTGCAGTCCTTCTTCGGTGATCGCGTGATTTCGCGCAGAGGAAATGTGCCATGGCCACCAAGACCATGCGATTTGACTCCCTTGGACTTCTTTTTATGGGGATATTTGAAAAGCAAAGTCTACGTCAACAAACCAGCCACCCTCGAAGAACTCAAAAACAACATTATTGCCGACATAAATGCCATAGAACCGACCATGTTGCAAAATGTCATTGAAAATTTCGACCATCGCGTGGACGTCTGTAAATCCAGTCGTGGTGAACATTTGAGCGATATTATTTTTCATACATAAATGGTATAAATGAACCTTCAAAATAAGTACCCAACTTGATTTGAATATCAATCTTTCTTGTTTTAATATGCGTTTACTTTCCTGCGTCCGTTTGTGTCAAACCATGGAAGTTTTCAGCGCATGCAGGGCTCAGGAAGGGCACTGGGAAATCATTGTATGGATATTGCTTTAAATATGTTTGAAAATAATACGCAAATAAGCATACGAAATGTTTCAGAAATTATGGATATACCTCGATCAACTGTAAGAAAAATTTATGAATACCTATTTGATAGTTATGCTAAAAATAATAATTTTAGATAGGAAGAATGACAAGGATGCAAGGATTACATCCTTATCATTTTAAACGGGTGCAGCATGTAACGGAGGCTGATTTTTTACCACGAATCGAGTTTTACCAGTGGATATTAGCAAATGAAAACACTATTCCTAGAATATTATGGTCGGATGAGTCAATATTTACTAGGAATGGTGCTTTTAATTTCCCTAACATGCATCACTGGTCAGATGAAAATCCAAAAGTTGTTCTCCGTACAAATTTCCAACATAGATTTTCATTGAACTTATGGGCAGAAGTAATTGGGGATCAAGTAATTGGGCCTGTTGTACTTCCCAATCGTCTTAATTCAGAGGTGTATCTGAAGTTTCTTCAGAATGAGCTCTTGGATATATTACCATTGGATGTGCGCCAGCAGTTTCAAGAAAATATGTTTTTTCAACATGATGGCGCCCCTGCACATTTTGGACGCAATGTTCGAAATTGGTTGAATGTCAATTTTCCAGACAGGTGGTTAGGCCGAGGAGGTCCTATAGCGTGGCCGCCACGTTCTCCTGACCTAAATCCATTGGATTTCTATTTTTGAGGGTCATTAAAAGACCTAGTTTACTCGACTGAAGTAAATACTCAAGAAGATTTACTTCAAAGAATCCATCAGGCTGCAACTGACACACACTTTACCATCATCAACATATTTTTTCCACTTTGTACATACAAATTGGCATGCAGTTTCACAAGAATGATTTGTTCTGAACCCGGATTGCCTCTCAAAAAGAACATCGTTCACACGTAGATGGTCACTCAGCTGTTCATGCACTGTTATTTCTATAACTTTCTCGACGACTGGAATACGATTGATGGGTCGCAAGTCTTCTGGCTCAGGTGGATTGTTTGTTTTGGTACTGGAACTATAATACTCCTCTTCAACGAAGGCATCTTTCCTGTTCTGAGCGATGTGTTTACAATATTAAAAAGGGGGTAGCCAATTACATCAAACAATTGCTTCACGAAAATGCATGTATGTGCTTCAACACCAGTGGATTTTTTCTTCAATTGAAAAACAGTTTTGCGTAGGTTTTTCAATGAAATTTCTTGAAACCTCCAAAAATCCTCTTCTAAAGGCACTGCTGCCGTTATTGCTTCCTTATTTCTTGAAGGTATAGTGCTTACTATATCAGTTACACTCTTGATAAAATAATTGTTCAATTTATTATCTGCAGTGTCACAGCCATTAATTTCTAAAGACATGTACCTAATCAATGTGTACATGTTTGTTATTGAGATCTTTAAAGGTTCTCCACATTTGTTTGCTATCGCCTTTTGCATCTATCAATCTTTTCTTCATAATACTGCTTTTGTTTTGATCGTAAAAGAGCAACAACTTTGTAACGTTTTTCTTTATATTTTTTGAGGTCATCCCTCAGGTTGATAAATTTGAAAATATGGTATTGTACATCTCTTTCCATTTGTACTATTTTGACCTCTCCATCAATCCATGACTTGTAATTAGTACTTTGTTATTCTAAAGGTGCAATTTCGTTAATACTTTTATTCACATTGTCAATAATACAATTATATAAGGAATCGACATCTCGAGATCCATACTTCCAGTTACATGCAATGAGCTTCATCTTGATTTTATCGATATTGTGACAACATATATAAACATACGTAGGTGTCTACCTTTTTCTGTCACTCAGTATATTAAACATATCCTTGAAGTTAACGATGATATATGCCCTTCTACTTAACGCTGCACGTTCTTTAGCCACTATTCAAAGAGTTCTTAATCCAAGTTTTCAATTAAGTTGCCTAATGAAGCGTGCTTCCACGCAAATGCCGTTGCCGGCATCGAATGCTGCGAAGCCGAAATAGCAACTTATTCGGAAGTTGTGAGGGCACTTAAGTTTTCCGACTCGGCGATTGTGCGGGAAATTTTACCAATTTCGACTGATGAGATACTCATTTGGGGAGTTCGATTACCAAATTGTGTATACAGGGTGAACACGTTGTTTCAGACATGGAATGCTGTTTCCCGAGCGGAGTCGGAAGAGACTTACGTTTTCCGATTCAGCGATTGTGCGGGAAGTACCAGGCACAAAACATATGGACTTTGCCCACTGGCCAATTTTGAAGAAATATAATAATAATAATAATAATAACGTCTTTATTGGATAACCCGGAGGGACATAAACAGCGAAGTTTAGCCAAGCTACTCTTACACTTAACTGTTTATGTCGGTTACATCTGATGTTCAAAACATGGAAAAAATATATATAAGAACAATGAAAAAAAAGAACACATATATACCTAAGTATAAAATACAAATAGACACAATCTATATCTGTAGCAGAAATGCGTATTTAATGAATAGCGAACAACATGCTTTAAGTATGTTTACGAAAACTTTCCAAAGACATCAATTTAATACTGTTGTCCAACTGATTATAAAATAGTGCTGCATTATATGTAAATCCTCGTTGGAATAATGCAGAAGTGTGTGGAGTGGTTCTGATACTATAACGATTCCTAACAGCCCTGTCATGCACTTCGTAATTAAATCTTAACTTAGCTCTTAGATATTCAGGCTTTGATGACAATATTATTTTATGAACTAAAACTAAGAATTTATGTTTAACCAAACTTCCTAACCTAAGCCAGTTCAATTCCCTATATTTATCACTTACGTGATCGTATTTACGCAACCCATAAATAAAGCGAACGCAGTTATTTTGGATGATTTGAAGACGATTTTTGGTCAATTGATCCAAACATGGATAATAAACGACATCACAGTAACTGAGCATTGACATCACCAAAGATTCGCACAGTTTTTTTCTCAGCCTAAAGTTAAGCAAGTAGCGATTGGAATAAAGAGTCCTAGAACACAGGTAAGTTTTTTTCATCAAATTAGCTATTTGGCTGCGGAATCTTAATTTTGTGTCAATTTCCACTCCTAGTACCTTAGCTGTTTGGGTATGCTGTAATGTTATGCCATCAATAGTCAGATGGAAAGAATCTTCGACAGTTTTCCTCTTCTGATCAGAACAAAACAATAACACTTGTGTCTTATCTGGATTAATAGTAAGATTATGTTCCATAGAAAACTGATGTACCTTATCTAAATCAAGCTGTAAAATGTCTGATGAATTTTGCGTATCTGAGGCGTCGAAATGGAATATTATTTGAGTATCGTCAGCAAATGTTTGTATCCCTGAATTGTCAACTGCTTTATGCAGGTCACACGTGTAAATCAAAAAGAGCACAGGTCTCAAAATTGAGCCTTGCGGAACTCCTGACGAAATAGTCGTAATATTGGATTGATCGTTATTGGTTGCGACACATTGCGTGCGACCGGACAAGTAGCTACGGAAAAAAACTGACAGCAGCATCATCGAAGCCTATATACCTCAGCTTGGTGCACAAAAGTTTATGATTTATTCGATCGAATGCTTTGGAATAGTCAATTGATACCACTGCTGTTGCTAACTTTTTGTCAACTGCCCTAATAACATTATCACAAAGATCTAACAGTGCCGAGGTGCTTCCTGAAGCTCGATTGACATGACAATATTATTTTTGGTTCCTCTATGTAATGGACAACTTGTTGCTGTATAATTTTTTCCAAAATTTTCGATAGCACCGGCAACAAACTAATGGGTCTAAGATGTTTAAGTTCAGTAGGTTTAGATATTTTAGGGACAGGTATAATTATCATGTTGAAATGATTGAATTTTGCAACGGGCGTGAATCCGGAGATACAGGGTATTAAAGTTTGGAGCCTTAGCCCCCGTGGGCACGCCCACCATCGATATATCTATAGACACTGCCGTTCATTCATAATTATAGAATTGTTTATTTTTCGGCATTGGTTGGTGACCAGAAGAAAAAAAATAACTGTCGCGGTGGAAAGAAATACTTTCGAACCAGTGGCGTATCGTATGAAAATATTACCGCACTGACAATAGTAGTCAAGCTGTGGAATTCAATCGGTTATATGTTTTTAGGAACATAGTTAAATAAAGTTATGTCATGTGTATTTAAAGAGGTTCTGTTTTCAAATCAGAGGCATCAAATTCTCCCAATGTATAAGTATCTCGCAGATAAATGAAAAATCGACAAAAGGATCATGCCATAAAATGTGAAAATTCATGAAACATATAGATAATTTCTTCTCAACAAATGTGTCGAATTACAAGTCATAGACTCGCTAACAGTAATTACACACCGCGGGCACGGTGGTGATTTCCCGTAATTCTCCTCTCCTTTTTAAAAACAAAAAAAAATGGAAAAAAATCGTAATTTATAACACAGCTAATAGATGTATGTACTTCATTGGCAGCATATTCAGTAATAATTTTCTCACATAGCAAATATCACTGACATTATACTTTATACATATGCAGACAAATACCGCTTAATCATCCAAATGCGATCTTGCTACTCAACCAACTTTCTTTCTTTCACATCTTCTCAGTGATAAACACTACAACCAGCAATGCAATGCATGCTTGAACGTCGGCACGTCGTTGAGTCATTCCTCCATGGATGCTTTTTCTGACGCTCACAGCGATCATAGCGTGCAAACTATTTGCACACTAAGGGTATATTTCACCAGGATTGTCACTGAGTACACATTCTAGGTTAGGACATTATTTGAATAACAGCTGATTATTACATTTCAAAACTCGCCAACGAGTGACACATGTGTGGGATCCGTCAATCCTTGGTGCCAGTGTAGTAAGCTCCGCCAACTGTTGAAATATACTCTACTATGCCTTATAAGACTATACGTGGAATTTTTCCCAAAATCGTTGCACAAAAAATGCAAATGAAAATTTAAAATTATTTCCATGACGCCACAAACTAGCTCCGTCGGTACCTCGGGTTATACATCTTGACAGTAGGGATGTTCGATACGATCCTATAAATATCGATACTTTTGCGTCCTGTACGCGATATTTTGGATCGATATTTTTATATACGATACTTAGGTGTATCGATACATTTCACGAGTATCGCCATCTTTCGATCCGGACTCTGTCAATACTTCCTAAAATAATAAGAATCGATACATAACAGACTCTTTCAGAAAGAATGACTAACTTCATATTACTTTTCTTCTTTGTTCCCTTCCGCTGGATATCGATAATTTTATCCCAATATTTTAGAGTATCGATACTTCCTAAAATAATAAGAATCGATACATATCAGACTGTGTTAGAAAGAGTGACTAACTTCAGATTACTTTTCTTCTTTGTTTCCTTCAGCTGGGTATCGATAATTTTATTCCAATATTTTAGACTATCGATACTTCCTAAAAAGATAAGAATCGATATATATCGATACTTTTCTAGGATCTAAACATCCCTAATCTTGACAGCTTGTTGTTCCTGTCAACGGGGCTGAAGGGTGCGGTGTTGCCTTTACTATCTTACATTTTGCTAAAATCTTATGACAAATAAAAGCTTCAAATGAAATAGTGACGAATATGAACGGATATGCATAGAATTTAGAATATAAATTCGTATTGCAAATTTCAGATTGTCTATGCATGAACTTGAACCGGATTTTTCGGTATTTTTACCGAAAAGGGAATATTTACCGATAACATCATCCTCCACGATTTTTCAAAATAATTTAAATATTTCTATACTTGCCGAAAAAGAGCTGAAACCAAAAATAAAGCTAAAAGTTAATTTTATGTAGTCCTCATAGCTTTATGCCCCACATCACTCATACATATGCAAGTCATATCCATCATCACCCTGCATTTTATATATACTAAGTGACATATAAATCCGAACACCCAGCTTAAATGGTTTTATTTTAATAAAAGTTGGTGAATGTATTTATCTTACTGTAAATAACAAGTGAAAAAATTTTCAGCCTTATCAGTTGGACATTCCGGTTTTTATACTGTTTTTTTTTAATTCACTAACGCTCTAAAAATGAATATTTCAGCCGCAGTAAAGAATCAACGTTGGCGGATTTTGGTTCTTGACATCCTTTACGATCGGTAACGATGCCTAGAGTACGGAGACCTGTACGATTTCGTCAACTTAGTGAGTTTGATAGGGGCCGTATAGTGAGACTTCGGGAAGCTGGACTTTCTTTTCGGGCAATTGCAGTTAGAGTGCAAAGAAGTGTAGACACTGTGGTTAGGTGTTGTCAGGCATGGCTTCGAGAAGGCCGTACGCAAAGAGCAAGGGGCACTGGACGCCGCCGTAGAACAACAGACCCTGAAGATCGCCGCCTAAGATTATTATTGGCCTTAAGGAACCGTTTCTCCACTACCAGTCCATTGCAAATGAATGGTTTGCAGA